ATTAAAAATAAATAAATAATAACTGGTTGTTTTGTGTAGTAGTTGTAGGATTTTGTGCATTGTATTGTAGTGTATTTATAGAGTGAAACTAATTTGTGTTTGTTTTTTTAGATAAGAATCTTACGGTTCAAAATCATGATAAGAAAATATGGTTTGACGGTTCAGATTGAAAGTTGCAGATTTTGTTCTGCAAGTATTTTGATAAGGTTCATCAACCCCAAAAAAGTTGATTTGTTCCCCACGAGGCAAGATGATAAGACTCATCCACAATAATTCATCCATTTATAGTATTTGAGATCCCCAATTACGGGTAAACCCAATTATTTCTATTCTATTATCGTAGATCTGGAAAAAAAAAGTCCTTTTTTTAAATATTATTTTGAAGTGATAAAAAGATAAGAATTGAATGAACAAGATTTTATGGAAATCTCATCCTACAGTAAAAAATTTCATATGAGATTTCTTAATCATTATTTATACCGTGTATGCTTAACAATATTTTCATACATTAACTTTTTCCTTTTTTAAGAAGATATGAATCCCGATCATATTGGTTGTTCTTTTGCATTTTCTTCTTCAAGTTCATCTGATGATGAGCTTGAGCAGTTACAAAATAGCTACGATGTAGAGCAACAATTGATATCTCAACAAGTTCATAATAATAACATTCTTGTACAAGAATTTCTCAAAACACAACAACTCCGATAGAGTCATGGAGGTTCAGTCCTTGGTCGTAAAACAATATTTCGCGATCGAGAAGCGGTCGCAGATTGTCTTTTTAATGATTATTTTTCTGAAAATCCAAAATTTAATGAAGCCATGTTTCGTAGGCGTTTTCAAATGTCTAGAATTTTATTTTTTCGTATTGCAAATACTGTAAAAAAATCATGATAATTATTTTTTGCAGCAAAAAGATTGGAAAACTCGGGTTGTCTACATTTCAAAAGTTAACTGCTGCATTTCGAACATTGGCATATGCAGTACCGGCAGACACGACGGACGAGTACATAAACATTGGGGAGTCCACTTCAGTTGAGTGCATGAAGAAATTTTTCCGTGCTATTGTGGAGGTCTTTGACGAGCAATATTTAAGATCTCCTAACGCCAATGATGTTGCAAGACTCCTTTATATTGGTAAGCAACGTGGATTTTCTGGAATGTTAGGTAGTCTAGATTGTATGCATTGGCGGTGGAAAAATTGTCCAACAGCTTGGGCAGGTGCGTATACAGGACGTAGTAAGTGTCCAACTATTATCCTAGAAATTATAGCCGATTATGATCTTTGGATATGGCATCCATACTTTGGTATGCCTGGATCCAACAATGACATTAATGTGCTAGAGAGGTCGCATTTGTTTGCTGAGAGAGGTCGCATTTGTTTTCTGACCTTACTCAAGGAATTGCCCCTCCAGCACATTATATCATCCAAGGGAAAGAGTATAATATGGGATATTATTTAGCTGATAATATATATCCAAAATGGTCAACTCTTGTCCAAACTATTCGTGACCCACGTAGCCCAAAGAAAAAATACTTTGCAATGAAACAAGAAGCCTGCAGAAAGGATGTAGAGCGTGCATTTGGTGTACTGCAGAGTCGATTTGCAATTGTGGCTAATCCTGCTCGATTTTGGAGCAAAAATGACTTACAGGATATCATGACTGCATGTATTATTATGCACAATATGATAATTGAGGATGAACGAGATCTTGATGCACCAATCGAAGCTGCGATGGAGGTCCCGATCCCAGATGTTGAAACGGTGGGTAATGGAGCTTCTCAGTTTCAAACATTTGTTGCTCGATACAGACAAATTCGAGATAAAGAAGCTCATATCGCCCTATGTAATGCACTGATTGATCACTTATCCTAAGATTTGATACAATCTCTTTCCTTATCCTAAGATTTGACTTGGTGGGCAAAAAATATTTACTTTATTAATTAAATGTCTTATTTATCTTGAATTTATGTTCCAAAATAAATAGACATTAATTAATAAAATATTTAAATTTCGATGTCTACAAATGCCTCCTTGAGACTTGTTCACGGACAAAATGTCTTGGTAGTGAATAAGTCTCAAAATTTTGAATTTGGTTGAGATATGCAGATAATTTAAACTCTTATTTAGGAGCTCTTCAACTTGGGTTTGTAGATAGTTTAAACTCGTATCAAGGAGTCTTGAAGTGATTTGGCAGATAGTTTATACTCGTATCAATGAGCTCCTGATTTGGTTTAACAGATAGTTTATACTCTTATCAAGGAGTCTTGATTTGATTTGATATGTAGATAGTTTATACTCGTATCAAGGAGTCATGATTTGGTTTGACAGATAGTTTATACTCATATCAAGGAGCCTTCAAATTTGTAGACATTTTATGCTCGTGTCAAGGAGCCTTCAAATTTGTAGACATTTTATGCTCGTGTCAAGGAGCCTTCGATATTTAACTTGTTGACCTTTTATTCTCGTGTCAAGGAGTCTTCATTTTGTAGGTAGTTTAAGCATATCAAGGATCATTGTAGATAGTTTAAGCTCATATCAAGGAGCATGTGAATTTGTAGATAATTTACACTCTTGTCAAGAAGCATTTGAATATGTAGATAGTTTAGGCTCATATCAATGAGCAGTTGAATTTGAGGATTTGATGGAGCTCATCATGTAAATTGCCCTCATGGAATTTGAGAAGAATAAGGAAGACCACTTTTGTTTCCTCCATTCAGATGTTTGACGAACACGATGATTTTCGACGGATTCATGGCTTAGGAAAACATCATCCTTCGTTGTCCCCGTGTACATTTTCTTCACGGAGGTCTTCATGCATCTTAAAAAATCTTCGAACTTGATTTGGAGAGAAGAGATGAGAGGTAGAGAAAATCCCACTGGACATGCCAAATTTGTAACAACAAATTTTATGAAAACATAAAACTTTTGTACAACTTGAATATATTGATCTAACGATATGCGGGGTACAATCTCTATATGTATCATCTGATTCTTCTCTTTATGGATTTGGATTTGGATCTTTGAAGATGGATTTGACGGTTGGATCTTCTTCAGGCTTGAGCTTGAATTTGTCTAACGCTAACTGGGGGGTCGAATGACTTGATCCCGAATTAAACGTTAGGACTTGATTTGATCGAAGACAACTTCTTAGAGGACTTGCTTCTTTGATCTTTCTAGAAGACGGATTTGGACTTGAATATCGTTGACTCGAGGGCTTGAGAGTTTTTTTCCAGATCAAATGCTATGTTGCTTGAACTTCTCGACGAACTCGGCTTGAATGTTGTGGATCTTCAAGAACACATTTGGATCTTCGAGAGAATTATTGAGAGCTCTTTGAATTGAGACTCTGATTTATGAGGTGTTGGATTTTTTGAGGTGTGGTTTGTAGTATTGAGGAGAACCCTATTTATAGGTGTAGGAAAGAGAGTTTTGGAGACGAAGACATCAATTTGATTGGTCCTTCATGATTTGATATAATCTCTTTCCTTATCCTGGGATTTGATATAATCTTTTTGTTTATCCTAAGATTTGATTTGGTGGACAAGAAATATTTACTTTATGAATTAAATATCTTATTTATCTTGGATTTATGTCCCAAAATAAATAGACATTAATTAATAAAATATTAAAATTTCGATGTCTACACCGATAACTTGCCGGCAACAGAGCCGAAGATCCCGAAACCGATTTTTTTCTGCACAAATCTTGTACTTTCATTGTATTCAATACTAGGGCCAACCTTTTTTTTTTTTTTTTTTTNTTATGCATCACAATAGCTCCGCCTTCAAATGATGAATCAGAAACATAATCCTTCTTCTTTTTCGCCAGAGAGAATTTGACGAAGGAGCTCAAAAGTGTTGTTGAAAAATTGGGTTTGATGAACTCTATGCCAAATTACTTGTTTTGGGAATTGAGATCTTCAGCATGATGAACACCGCTCGGACTCATATATACCACCAATGATTTTTTGGCCTTTTTTTATTCATTTAATGATTAATTAAATAGTCAATCATTATACGCTTTAAATGCTAATTGACAAGTCAATAATAACTTTTTCGGAATGGCATAAAAATTGTGTTGTACTAATATTGTATCGAATATCTCAACGGAGAATAAAAAATAATTACTCGTAAATTGGACTTTAAGGTAGATTATAGACGTGCAGGGGTAATTATCTCTAAATAATTTATCCAAAGAGAAATTGAGGCCCATAGCGGATAGTAAGAGCTAATTGTACTAGCACATAGTTTATAAAAAATTGTAACAGTTCACTTGACTGGTTGATTCACTGATTATATTAATGGTTTGCAAATACCAATTTTTATAAGTAGTTTTAAATTTTTACGTTTTACATGTTATAATATAAATCTCGTATTCTAAGATTAGCATGTTGGACCACAAAACTAATATATATATATACTTTTACCAAACAAGCTAATTAGCATATTTGACAGGTCAAACCTCTAAATAAGGTTCAATTCTATAATTTTACATTAGTCCGTTAACATTCAAGTAGGGACATTTGTTGATGTGACCTGTGGATAGTATTGATTATTTGTAAATAATTATTTTTGGCAAATTCCAGATTGTAGAGGTACTTCTAAAATTTTATATTGACACCTCATTCTTAAGAATCTCCTCCTCCCACAATAATTGTTTTGTAAATAGTAGATTATATAATTATTTTAGAAATTTTATGTTAGACATCTTATTTCATGAATCAATTCTTCCCACAATAACTGTTTGGTAATTAGCATATAGTATAGCTAGTTTGGAAAAAATATGTTAAAACATGTGATTATACAAATCATCAATTTTCAAAATTTCTAACAAATCAGCTAATTAGTGAATTTGAAGGACTAAACTTAAAAAAATCAATTCATTAACTTTAACCAAACCGCTAACATTTCGACCTAAAATGTGTGAACTCTTTATCAAACAAACTCAGTTAGCAATTTAACCATAAAGTTATAAACCAAAATTTATTCACTAAGCTAGCGTTCAAATGAGTTCATTATCATTGGTCCAAAATAAAATAAAATTGTCTTTTCCTCACATTTCAGTGCAAAAAGCCGAAGAGAGAGAGAAATGGCTCGGATCATCACCTACATCACCGGTTCTCAGCTTCTTTCTCTCCGGCGCCGCTCAAATATCGCCGTCGTCGACGTCAGGTACAGTTGAACAGTTACCGTCTCTGTTTTTTCCTTAATTTTTCTCTATCTCTCTTTTTTTATTAAGAAAATCTGACCATTTTTTTTTTAACAAAATAAATTAGGGACGATGAAAGGAGCTTCGATGGTCACATAGCTGGGTCTCTGCACTTTTCCAGTGATACATTTGTCGATAAATTGCCTGATCTTGTTCAAGCCACCAAGGACAAGGATACTCTTGTTTTCCACTGCGCCCTAAGCCAGGTCAATTTATTTTCCCTAGAGCTCTCTCTCTCTCTCTCTCTCTCTCTGTGTGTTGTCTTTGTTGCCATGGATTTTCTGTGATTTTTGAGTTGTCGTGGTTGATTCATGGTGTTTTTGCTTGAGATTTTTTGCCTGTCAGATGTTAGGTTAAGTGTTGCGAAAAATGAATGGAAATGTGTTGCCTTTATTGCTAGGGATTTTTCTGTGATTTTTGGTTGTCATGGTTGATTTGGGGTGTTTTTTCTTGAAATTTTTAGTTTGTTGAAATTGTGTTCCAGTTGTTGGCCTATGAACATTGCGAACATTGAATAGAAATTGGATATAAATTTTTTACTTGTCTATGGAGTTCGGAAAATTTGTTCCTAACTGGTTTTTATTTGTACCGTTGGACCAGCACAACAACCATGTGTGTGTATGTGAGTGTATGATCAAATGGTAGAAAACCACCTGTAGGATCGCATCAAACAATGGAATTTAGACCTGTGGTTTTATGGAGATCTTCATTTGTCTTGTATATTCAGTGTTATTGTTTGTGAGATGTTCATTACCATTTGTTGTTCTTTAATATGCCGTCAAACTAAGGTTCCTTTTGCTTGATGAAATAGCTGGAACAAATTATTTCATTATTTGATTCACTCGATGGAACAATGATTTGGTGATTCAGGTTGTTGGCTTATCTGGTATTGGAATCGAATATTGTGCAAAATATTGAAATGTTTACGGATTAGGTATAGAAGAGTTTGTCACGGAGTTGTATTGCACGTTGCGTGATGACCATATAATGGTGTTACTTTTGAGTTTCAACCCCTACGTGAAACGATTTCTGAGGTTCTCATATTGGGAATAAGCTATTCTACATTTGGTGTGCAAAAAAGAATGGGGCGACAATATGCGAATCTTTCTCTCGGTCAATATTTTTGGTCATTTGATTACCTGGTTGATTTAGTCACTCAAGTTTTGCAGTCAGTTTGAAATCTTGTGCGTAAATTTGTACTTGTTTCATTCTCCTGATTTTGTTGATTTACCCTTCAACACCAATTCACCATCATAATTTGTACTTGTTTCATTGTCCTGATTTAGTTGATGTACCCTTCAACACTAATTCACCATCATATTTTTTATTTTTTCTTACCTTTTGGAAGCATAATATCCTGAGATATCGGCAGATGCTTTGTTGTTATATAGTTATACCTACTATTACTTCATTGATAAATCAAGCTAAGGTTCACCATATCGCGTTATACTCGTGCTGCAATGCCATCATTAGGTCTAATTACAAAATTAACCTTTGGATTAACCTTATTACAAAAAACCTAATATGTATTTCAAAATTGCAAACATTCCCTGACATATTTTCCCTTGGATAAGCTGCATCCTTGACGGCTCAACTCAATTTGCTACACCTTAAGGGGCAGCTTATAATTTTGAAATATTTACTGGTTTTTTCTTGCCATTTAGCTAAACCTCGTGTCTCCTCCCTCCCCTCCCAAAAAAAAAAAGAATAAAATAAAATAAATAAAATTACTGTATATCTCGATAACATCAATGCCACCAAATGATTTGTTTTAACAGGTTCGTGGCCCCAAATGCGCCCGTAGGTTTGCTGAATATATTGCTAACGCGGACGATGTGGGAGCGAAAAACATCATGATTTTGGAACGTGGTTACAACGGTTGGGAAGCTTCTGGAAAGCCCGTGTGCCGCTGCACAGAGGCCCCATGCAAAGGCGAGTGTTAAAAACCGAAGTCCCTTCTCACTCGATAGGACTTCTAAACAAAGATCATAATCCAGCTTTTGCTTTGACAAGAAACTTTGAAAAAAGCGTGCTTTTGTGTTATGTGTTGGAATAACAACCTCTTAATGTGGGACTTCACCAATTCAAGAACCATGTAATGATTGGATTCTTATGATATTTTCTATTTATTATCATTGATGTTTATTATCATTGATGATACAAGAAATAGAGTACACGTGGAGGAGATGTATGCTCCGACGTCCTCCTTAGCACGACTCCTATGCACCGACGCCTAGGGTCGTCACCAGGGTAGATCATCTCATCTAATGCTTAAGTTAGAAATGGGGTTGTAGGGCGGCAGTTGTAGATTAAGTGTAGAAGAGAAGAGAGTGTCTCTTTACCTTGACCTAGGTCGTCCTTTTATAGAGGTAGGTCTTCCCTCTCTCTTTACCTTTACCTGGTTTTATTGAGAAGAGAGAGCATCGATTTTTCATGCTTGACTGTAGCCTTTCGAAAGTTAATTTATCCTCACTATTTTGTTACTTCTTCATGTCTTATTCTTCGGCAGCTAGTTATTATCCACTGACGTCCATAACATTAAGATACCTTAAGAACCATGATAGTAATAACTCGGACGAGTATTAGAGACCTCAGTAGCTCGTGAACGGATTATTGAAGACCTCGATAGTCCGAGAGAGAATTTTTGAATACCCCAGTAGGACAAGGAATTTTTTGTGTAGACTTCGGTGGTCGGAGGATGAATTTTCGGAGACCTGGGTAGGTCGAGGAATTCCGTCGCAGGCATCGATAGTCCTAGGATGAATTTTTGGAGACTTTGTTAGGCCAAGGAATTCCGTCGCAGACATCAATAGTCTGAGGACGATTTTTTGAAGGCCTAAGTAGGCCGAGGAGTTCCATCGTAGACCTCGGTAGTTCGAGGACTAATTTTTGGAGACCTTAGTAGGCAAGGAGTTTTCTGTCGAGACCTTGGTAGTCCGAGGATGAATTTTTGGATACCTCGATAGGTCGGGGAGTTTTCCGCCGTAGATCTCACTAGTCCGAGGATGAATTTTTGGAGATCTCGTTAGGCCGAGGAGTTCCGCCGTAAATCTCGATAGTCCCAAGATGAATATTTGGAGATCTCGTTAGGCCAAGGAGTTCCGTCGCAGATCTCGATAGTGCGAAGATGAATTTTTGGACACCTTGAAAGGCCGAGGAGTTTTCCGTCATAGACCTTGGTTAGGGCTGTTCATTCGGTCGAAACCGAATCGAATCGATCGAATTTTCGGTTAAGTTTGTCCATTACTAGAATCGAAAATCGAACCGATATTTATGGTTCGGTTCGATTTTTAACCGAACATCCAGCGGTCAGTTCGGTTATCGGTTAATCGCAATAAATAATTAATCTTCTCAATAAAGTTCGAATTTTTAACCGAAGAAAAATTTGATGTTATGTCCAAACAAAAAAAAAAAAATGACTTGTTTAATCTTCCCAATAAATTCCAAATTCTTCTCAAAGGAAAATCTCGGAAACCGTAACTTGGACTATGGCGAAGTCAATTTTGAGTGCAAATTAATGCTTGAGCCATTTTAGGGGTCATTAAAGCTTGAAAATCATCAATCATTGAAGCAAATTAATGCTTTTATAACTTATATGTATAAATAAAAAACATGTATATATATGTGTATAAATCGGTTTTGGGTTCGGTTCGATTAACCGATCACAATTATCCAAACCGAACCGAAAATCGAAATTTTAAGAAAATGTAAACCGAAATCCGAACTAAATATTCGGTTTCAGTTTTGGTTTCGGTCCAAGCCGAATTTTCGGTTTCGGTTGGTTCGGCTCGGTTAATCGAACTTTGTGCATCCTAATCTTGATAGTATGAGAACTAATTTTTGGAGACCTCGATCTACCGAGGAGTTCCGTCGTAGACTAGTAGTCCGAGGACGAATTTATGGATACCTCGGTAGGTTGAAGAGTTTTCCATCATATACCTTGGTAGTTCGACATTCAAGCAGTGTTTTAAATAGCGCAATTTCGCGCGCTATAGCATATTTTTACCCAAAAACGCGACATTGCGTATAAAATTTAGCGCAGTTCTAGAAAAGCGCACGCAATTTATGCTATATTTTGCGTTATTTACGCAATTTAAGCTACATTTTACGCTATTTATGCAATTTACGCTATTTGGACAATCCTTATTTTTTATAGACAAAAAAATTAAAAATAAAATACCAAAAAAAAAAACGTGGGCACAAAATTGATTAGTTTCTCCCATGGCGAATCTGAATGAATATTAAATCATGTTTCGTAGCTTTCTTGAAAACAACAATTATTTGAAAAATTGATATCAACATAGTTAGGATTGACCTTTTGGACCATTAGAATCATGGGATGTTTATGTTTCTTAAGCTCAAAAGTGAAATGAGAATAACACTTCCCTTTTTTCTCCAAACTAGTACAGAGCCCGTGCGATGCACGGGGTGCACAATTTTAAGGCTATTTATCCAGACTTATAATTATATACATGAATACAGAAAAATGTACGGGATATATATAGTACGTGACCCGTGCGAGGCACGGGATACATTTATTTGAGGAATACTATATTATAAGATGCAATATTCAATAAAAGTTTTATAATACGCAGGAAAAATATACAATAAGATAGTATTCGACAAACAAACAATCACATATTATTAAAGACCACCTTGTACACAACATTATGAATTTGATTTTCCATACAATAATAATAAGAATTTTTGTAAAAAGATAAGAAGGAATTTTCAATCTACACAAGCTTGAAACATTAGATGTATTTACGTAAATGAATGACTATATAGACAACTAAACCCTTCAATTTAGGCTTGACATCTACTTTATTTAGGGTGACGTAAAATAAGGATTTAATTTTGACCGATTAAATCTTTATTCATAGGCTTGACATATAAAATTGATTTGATGGGATTTTCTTAACTAAACCGATGCTATGGGATAAAACAAATCTATACTTACCTTTGACTTTTCTAGCAAAGGTAAAACAATCGGTTCTGATTTTTATCTCATAACAAATCTTTAATGTCAAGCCTATAAATACCAAAACAAATCTGTAATTAATATCATTCGATTTTCAGCAAACATTAATTACCTTTGACTTTTCTGCCTACTATTTCTAGTAAATAGGATGACTTTTTATATAAGTATAGATTTCATATAATGCAAAGACTGAGATCATAAAAAAAAATCCTAAAAACTGAAACAATATATTTGCATAATTTAAGGCCATTAAGAAATCGATCTCTAAACCAGATTTGATTTTCAGAATATGTTTTTTCATTTCGAATTCCATACAAATTGGAATTCTTTCCAACCATTAGATGTCATAGCAAATATTAACTCTTAACTATTAGACTATTAGTACATACCGAGCAAATTGTGTACTGATTTTAGAAAGTTCAAATGATTCATGTTAGGTAATTTTACATTTTATGCATGTTGAACGGTGGGTTTTAAATATTGTTTCATAGAATGTAAATGTGTATTATATTACTTTTATGAGATATTGAATTTGAAAATTAATAGAATTCTTCTTCATAGTTATTTTAAATGTAACAATATTCTTTGGTATACACTACTAATAAAATCTATATTTAAAGTTTATATTTTTTTTTATCGAAAAAAATTCCTTAATTTAAGGAATCATATATCTTCAATCAGTTCACATATATATACATTCTTCACAATTTTAAATTTTGAATTTGATGAGAATTCATATCTATGAGTGCAAAATATGGTTTAACAAATTAATTTTTTATTATTATTCCAGCCATACTTCTTTATACGATTTTTTGTGAAAATACAAAAGTAAATTCTTAATTTTAAATCAGTCGTACATTAAAGAGTACAAATTTGTTGAAATTACAAAAATAGTTTTTTACTTTTAAACAGACGTAAATTTAAATCAGTTATAAAAAAGTAATATTTGTTTACCATTTAAATATTAAATCAACCGTAATTAATGTTGTTTGTTTTAGTTGCCACGATTTTCTCTAAACTAAATTAACAACGGCCATGATTTAAGGGCAACATTTAATGCTGCTCTATTTTTAGGAGACATTAAATGTATTTGGCGGGAAAAACTTGCTAAAAATGTTAAATGGTTAATCTTTTAATATAATGATAGATGATGATGAGATGCAAGAATTTAGTGAAATTGTACTAATGATATAATTGACGATGATAGCCAAATTTAATTAGATAATACCGATCATTTTAAGATTTTGAGTCTTTGCTTTAAACATTAAGACTTTGATTGTTTGAAGAATTAATATTTGAATGCTATTTTTTAGATTTAATGTCCAAGTTTATGGATTAAAACTATTCTAATTATTCATTTGCTTCTATGGTTATATATTATTTTTTCGGCATTGAAAGTGAATTGCTCGAAAACGCAATATAAACGCATTGAAGGATGCACGTTTTAAAACACTGCATTCAAGACTTATATTTTATTTCTCGGTCATTTATATACTTCTCTTTTTTTTAAGCAGTTATATTCCTTACAAAATAAAGTTTAACGATCCTTATGTTTGAGGCTTTGAGCTACATTTGGTTAATTAATTCGAAATTAAGATTAACCATGGCAAATGTCACTAAATGAAAGTTGCCAATTTATAAAACCTTTTCCAATTCCATCTCACAAAAAAGTACCAAAACAATGACCTCGTCGTGACTCGTGATCCACCTAAAAATGAAAATATCCCCAGTAATAAAAATTTGAGGCACGTCAATCCACGCGCCCACCCACACGCGTCTCACACACTCATGCACACACTTCCTGGTCTCCTTTGCAACAAACGGCACAAAACTCCCGCGTCCATGCAAATTACCCTCGCATTCACCTTCTCTCTCTCTCATACAAACACAAACACATTTTAAATGGATAAACTAAACCAAAAAACTCATGAATTCGGCTTGTTGGTCTTAATAATATGAATGTTAAATAATTTTTATAAATTTTTCGATATAATTTAACTCGTTAAAAATTGGGCACGAGTTTGAATAGTTAAAGTTCAACTCGACTCGTTTAAGATTATTTTATAAACTTTTCACATAATTCGGTTGGTTAAGACTCGAACACTAACTCGAATATCTGAACTCGTTAAGGCTCGAGCACGAGTTTAAGTAGTTGAAACTCGACTAGTCTTGATTTGAATAACTTTATGATTTTTACATATAATTTGTCCGTTAAAACTCGAACACAATTATTTAGACTGTTAAAAATCAAGCACAGGTTTGAGTAGCTGAAGCTTAACTAGACTCGTTTATAATAGTTATGTAATTTTTTTCACATAATTCGGTTTGATAAGGCTCGAATAATGGCTCAAGTATCTGGACTCGTTAAGGATTGAACACGAGTATGAGTAGTTGAAGCTCAACTAGACTCGTTTAGAATAATTTTATAAAAATTTTATATAATTCAGCTCGATAAGGCTAGAACACTAGCTCGAGTATATGGACTCGTTAAAGATCAAGCACGAGTTTGAGTAGTTGAAACTCAACTCAACTTGTTTAGAATAATTTTACGGATTTTTTACATAGCTCAGCTTGTTGAAGCTTGACTCGGCTAGTTTACCATACTTTTATGAACTTTTTAGCATAATTGGACTCATTAAAACTCATTCAAGAGCATTTTCTCCAAAAAAAAGAAAAATAATAATAATAACAAATAAAATCCTTTTTAATCACCTTATCTTCCCCAAAAGGAAGAAAATCTGATCTGTAATTTCATTCCCGTAATTGGAAACTTTCACTCCAGATTGTGCATTAAATTGCATTAATTCTCCATTCAAATACCAACACATTGCGTAACGCTTGGACCACTCGGCGAGGAGTTTTTCGCCACCACCATTCCATTTTCCAATTTGTAGGTGTGTTGAATCATGGCGGCGGCACCGGCGGCGTCTCTGTATGTCGGGGATTTGCAGGCGGACGTGACGGACGGCGATCTGTTCGACTTGTTCTCGGAATTCAACGTCGCGTCTGTTCGGGTTTGCCGCGATTCGTCCACTGGCCGCTCGCTCTGCTATGGCTACGTCAACTTCCTCTCTCATCAGGACGGTAACGTCTTTTTCTGCACACATTGTTCTGTTTTATTTTGTTATTTCTTTTTTGGTGTGTGCTGTTCGTGATTGTGTGTGAGTGTGTGGGAGTGGATCATGGTTGATTTATTCTGATGGGTCTAATTAAATTTCTTCACGATTGGAGTTTTCTGGTTGATTTTGAATTTTGGCTGATCGAGTGGCTGTGATTGAGACTTTTCATGTTTGAGAAGGTCAGATCAATTGCCCTGTGGAGCGAAATGAAATCAGAGTTTGATTATGTGCTTTCTCTGTCTTGCATGAAAATGTTGAAGTTGTGTTGCTGTATTGACAGTGATTCACACTTTATAACTTCTGAGAATGCTTTTCTTTTTATTTTTTTATAGTTGAATTGCCACTCAAAAATCGGGTTGAAGGATACTAAATGGTTCTGATTCACTTATCATGAAACCGAAAGTCTACAACTATTTTTTGTTTGAGAATGTTCATGGAATTAGTAAAATTCGATACTACCCGTGTGGGTAGTGGTCACAAGGGGTTGATCACCGTTGGATCACACACAGTCACACACACACCCATGTGGATGTGTGTTGATCCCGATGGTGATCAACCCCGTATAAGTAATAGGTAGTAGGAACGAATTTTTCCATGGAAAACATTCTAGTAATCTGCAGGGTCTTAATTATAACAGCTATTAATTTTTCATTAGCCCCTATAATTGAGAGAAAATGGTTTATTTAATGATTTACAGATTTGCTTCATTATATTTCACAGTCAGATTCCAAGATGGGTATGTCTCTTGATTTTCCTGGAGTACCTTATAATTGGGTCTGGCTGCCTGTGATGCTTGAAATATTGTGCTACTATAAGTTCTGTTGCTTAGAAGTTATTTTGATTTGACACAATAGCCATCGGTGCTATTGAGGAGAAAAACCATTCCTTGTTGAAGGGGAGAGCAATAAGGGTTACATGGTCGCATCGTGATCCTGATGCAAGAAGAAGTGGAGTTGGAAATGTCTTTATCAAGGTAACTTCACTTTTCAATTTTGAGTTTGTTCCAGTTGCTGAAATATCTTTGTGTTATCTCACGATCCACTTATTTGTAGAGGATAATTTATATTGGTTTTATTAATGTAGAATCTGAGTGAATCAATCGATTGCGTGAAGCTCCAAGAAATGTTTCAGAAGTTTGGGAACATATTATCATGTAAAGTTGTCACTTCCGATGATGGAAAAAGTAAAGGTTATGGCTTTGTCCAATTTGAATCGGAAAGCTCTGCAAAAGCTGCTATTGAGGAGCTTAATGGGTCAACTAATGAAGGCAAACAAATGTATATCTGGTTCTTCTATTATTTTCTGTAACTTTTTATGTATTGATACCTTGGGATTCCCACGCAACTAATTTCATCAATTTTGGGGGATTGCATAGGTTTGTGGCTAAGTTCATGAAAAAGAGTGACCGAGCTAATCTTAGTTACGAAGAGAAATATACGAATCTGTATGTGAAGAATTTGGATGCAAGTTTCTCTGAAGAAGACCTCAGGGAGAAGTTCTCAAAATATGGAAAAGTTATAAGCCTAGTCATATCAAAGGATGATAACGGTGCATCCAGAGGATTTGGGTTTGTCAACTTTGAGAACCCAAGTGATGCCAAACGTGCAGTGGAAGCTTTCCATGGATCAAAACTTGGTAATGCCGTAAACTTCTACCAAAGTTTGTTGTAGCATTACGCTGCAGAACTTTTATAATGTGCATATTTGGCAGGATCAAAGGTCTTGTATGTTGCCCGAGCACAGAAGAAATCTGAACGAGAGGAAATCTTACGCCGAAAGTTTGAGGAGAAAAGGAAGGAACGGCTCCTCAAATACCAGGTCCAATGGGAATCACTTCATTTGAAATTTGCTCGTGTAATATTTTTTCATATGTGGTTAAGATATCTTGTTTAATCTATCAATCTCAGGCGTCGAATGTCTATGTGAAGAATATTGACGATGATGTTACAGACGATGAGCTGGAGGAACATTTTAGCAAATGTGGGACAATTACGTCAGAAAAGATTATGCGAGATGACAAAGGAGTGAGCAAAGGGTTTGGATTTGTTTGCTTCTCCACCCCAGAGGAGGCCAATAAAGCTGTTTATACTCTGCATGGTGGGTGCGTTTATTTGCTGTCTATTCTACTTAGTTCTATATGTAGCGAGGTATATAATGATAGCTACGTGAATTTCTGGTCTGGTTCTTCATAGATAGACCACTGTGGAATTTTACTTATTTTGTTTCTTTCTCTCTTTCTCCTGACAATACGTAATTTGATCAGGCACTTCAGAATTCTCGAATCTAGACTGTAACTGATACTTTGATGTACATGGGTATGTTGAGGTAAATTTTGGCTGGCGTTCAGAATTTTGAATGATGTTTGCCGACCCTATGAAAATGGGAAATACAGAAGTGGGTAGCAATATTGAAGGAAATTCTAGATGGCAGAAATGTCCTGTTCTTATTTTATTCAACGGCTTACAAAGAACTGTTCTAGATTCATTTAGTGCTAATGATTTAAATGTCAAGGAATCTGATACATCTGCCCATACATATATTTCCAGGTTTAATTTTGCGTAAAAAGCCCTTGTATGTGGCGATTGCTCAGAGGAAAGAGGACAGACAAGCACAATTGCAGCTCATGCATTCACAACGAATGGTGGGATTAGGGGGATCATCAACTATTTTTCCTGGCGGATACTCTCATTTCTATTATCCAGCTTCTAGTGTTGTTCCTCAATTTCCTGCACAAAGTGCTGTTATTATCCAGCCTAGGGGAATAAGGCCTGGATGGAGGGGTAATGGTGTTTCGAATACTTCTGGACCATTGGTCAGTTTTATGAATTTTAGTTTATCGACTCATTTGTATTGTTTGTTTATCAAAAAGATTGGTTTTATTTACTGCTTACAAAGTTATATTAATTTCAAGTCCATCAGTTTCTTAGTCTCTTTTTTTCTTAAATTTTACAGGCACCTAATAATCCAAGACCTCACAGACAGAACAGGGGAAGGTCGAATGGCCATGGTTTTCAACAGGGTGCTGCATTGCCATCTGCATCACATTTGCAGCAGCCTAATGATTCAAGGAACCATAAGGTTGGTTTTTAAAACTTGATTTACATTCCGAAATTTATTATATATTTTTTTTGTTTGCCAATTAATTGGATCTCTTGTGGACG